AAATACAAAGACAAACGTACTGCGAGTGATTTGTCCGTCTGTCAGCAAATATCCTATATACGTACTGCGAGCGATTTGTCAACAATACAATTTCGTTTGATTTTCAAAGGCCATAAATCGCTAGAACACTGTTGTTTGGTAATACATTTGACATCCGTAAATGCAATTTCTTACGCTGAATCGAACGGTGGTATTTTTATCCTTATTGCGCCATTATACATTACATGTAGGTGTCATCACTGTCATTAGACATTACAATATCATATTTCACACTATAGTTTTCACGTTCCACAGCTAACTATTAGGGACTGTTGCTGCATAAAGTTGATATGACACCAATATAACATGCTTCTCATAAAGTAGTTATCTATTAAAACTACGTTGTGTAGTTTAGGTTATAACCTTTTACCTTACAATTGTCTTTGGCTCGTTTATTATCAGATTCAGTATATTTAATATGATCGTGCACGGGAATTCAAAGATCCAAATTTCGGATTTTCAGAGTCGTGTACCAAGAAAAATGCATTAACCGAAACTAGCAAAAATGCCCAGAGTTAGACACAATGCAAAATCCATAGAAAACCGGTACAATTCGTTGAAAATTTTAACGAAATTGTTTGAAACATTTTGCCCACTCACAAAAGGCCGCCATTTTGAAAAGGATAAATTGGGTTTATTAGGCAGCTCATTAATGCGGGCACGATGTAAACAATCGATGTAAACTAATCGCTGATTGGCTTAAATATATCATGAATTGGCTCAATTATATAAGCTCTTCGCTGAATGGCTATGTTAACATACGGTACGTTTGCGATGGCAATAGAGACCTTACGATTTTAGGACGGCAACGCGACGGCAACGGCTACCAATACAATAGATCATTGAAAAGAATTGAGTAATTACAATATATGTATAATTTAGACATTGTCCTCGCTCTGTTTACAACGCCAAATCAAAGATTTCCACGTCTTGATACAACGGCTGCATTCCAAGCCGCAAAAAGTGCAACTTCAAACTGGGTTTAGCAGAGCTCTTCCCAACCATAAAACCCATGTCTTCAACTTCTAAAACTGTATTAAATTCATGCGATTGATAATATACCACGAACTATCTTTACTACCATTTATTTGAAGGAGTTTGTTTTGGCCGTCGTCGTCGCGTTGCCGTCCTAAAATCGTAAGGTCTCTAATATATCTGCTTCGCAGATACAAAAACAATTAATTTCGAAACTAGAAGTATTTGAAATCGTATATATATATATATATATATATATATATATATATATATATATATATATATATATATATATATATATATATATATATATATATATACAGTCCTTGAAACTCCCGAATTTCAGGTCGGCAATTTTTTCGAAACAAATAGAAAATATCCAAATGAAAATTTAATTTGCTTGCTTGCTGCAAATACGTGTATTCATTGCAATCAATGCCAATAGCAAACAAAACAACTAACAAAATGTATGAACTCCAATCGAACAGTGCATGCATGTTGTGACCAAATGTTGTGACAGACCGTACACTACTTTATAATTATTACCATATACTTTCGCTTAAATCTTGAAGCTCGACTATTTTAATACGCATGTTTACTTTTCAAAGTTTTCAACAATGAAACTGCAATGTGACTACGCAAGCTAATGATCAAAACCTGATAATTAAAACATCATCGTTGAAAATGCGTGTGTGAAAGATGGGTTCGCGGAAAAAAATGCCGAGACGTATTTGAAAGTAGGTCGGCAAAATTTTGCCGACCTAAATCTACACATTTGCCGAATTGCCGAATGCCGACCTGGGTTTCAAGGACTGTATATATATATATATATATATATATATATATATATATATATATATATATATATATATATATATATATATATATATATATATATATATATATATATATATATATATATATATATATATATATATCCTGACTCGCGGATAGCATAGACTCACAAATCATAACGAACAAATTAAAGAAAGGGTCTAACAAAAGAGGTACAGAAGACTTTGAAAATGCCATTTCCGACAATTTAGAGACACAAAATTTTCAAAATTTTTCCGCTCTGTGCCAACCATGGTGGCGCTTCGTGGGAGTTGGGCTCTCTAAGTTTATCAAGCTGGCTCCCTAAGTGACGGCCAAGTTGTGGTATCTACATAAACATACTATGCAAGACTTGCATAGTATGTTTATGTAGATACCACAACTTGGCCGTTGCAAGTACTTAACTGAAGGTTCAGTCTATCTACAGCATAATGTAATGCTGTATATCCGAAAATCTGTTTCAGAAAATGCAGGGGAATTGCAGTCACAGGGGTAGATAAATACAAAAATTTTCTGGGGGAGAATATACTATTAAATGTGATACCACACTAAACTTTTTGTTACCAACAAACCATCTATCATTTCTCTATGCTCGGTATAGTATGGTCCCTTTTTTAGATGCCCACTGAAGAATTCTTAAAAAATGCCCTGTGACTGTGTTAAAGTTTTGTTAACATTGTACATTTTGCAATTGTAATTGTGTTGCTCATTTTGCTCATAAGACATAACAAATAAAGGCCGGGGGACCCATAGATATAAACATTGCCCAAATTTTGCATCTTTCGAACTCAGTTTTTGAATTGAAACGTACGTACTCAAGTTTATATTCATTTACAATAGCGAACCGGAAAAGTGTTAGATATTCAGTTAGTAGGTCGCGAAATTGGCCGACCGGACAATGGACCGAGCACTATTAACCCAAGTTTAGGAAATGGACTGAGATTTGCAAGAACAACAATCATTCGAAGTGCAACACAATTTCATTATTCACGCATTTCCGTTATTTATTTCACAATCAATTCAGTTTTCGTTGATGTGCTGTGAATACTAATTCAGTAAAAATGTGAAAAAATTTGGTTCATGAAAAAAATATAGTAATATTTTGGAGAATCTGGAGTTACGGCGGAGGGGGGGGGGGAGGGGGGGGGGTATTCGAAGAATTTTACTGAATTATTCGAATTTTAATGTTAAAAAATTACTTGAACTGTAGAAGTTGTAAATTGCAATGACGTTTCAATGCCTGCAGGTCCTCTCCCAAAAATATTTATTTTTGAAGCTCGATTACTGCTTTTCTTGTACTTTCTGTAGCGATCGAAAAGAAAAAAACTAACAATTTTAAGGGCGTATACATAGGCGTACGGGACGGGGGGCAGGGGGGGCAGCTGCCCCCCCCCCCAACAAGATTACAAAGTCGAAAAGTCGGGCAAATGTTCAACAAAAGTCGGGCAAAAAGTAGTCAAAACAAGAAAATCTCTCTTAATAATAACCGCAGTTTGTTGGGCAAACAAAGCCAGTTGGGCAATATTCGCTTCACCATCGGGCAATATTTGGTTTTTATAAAAATAAATGGGACAAATTCTGTAAATTTTGTGGGGAATTATGTAAAATTTTTGATTTTTGGGAAAATTTGTTTGATCTTCCGAAAAATTTGGGTAATTTCGAAAAATATTTGGACCCCTAAAATGGTACACTGACCGAAAATTTTTTTGGCGAGGGGGGGTCGCCAAAATAAATTGTTCGGAAAAAAATTTTCGGCACTTGTCGGGCACAATCCGAAAAAGTCGGGCAAATTTCTTTCTGCCCCCTAATTTTTTCCTTCCCGTACGCCTATGGGCATATATTCGGAAACTTTGCATTAAAGACATAATTGTACAGCTTATATTTTAGAACTGTCATATAGTGAATGGATTTAGAACTTCACATTGAGAGTGTAGAGTTTCCACGATGATAATGACGGAACTCGACCTACGCACATTTTCCCACGCACAGTCAAGAATTCAATCATGCAAACCACCAAAATCCGGTGTTTCGCAAGAATGGTCTGTGAGAGTGGTCCACGAGTGTAGTCCACGGACCAGGTCCACGAAGATGGTCCACAGACCTGGAGTCCGCGTTTTGTCGTTTCCCCAGTTTATTACTAGTATGTCTTATTTTACAAATATAGCAGTTCAAAATGTAAACTAAGGATTCGTTTACATTATGGACTTGACATGGTCTTTAAAGTTATTTATTTCTTAATTAAGTCTGGTGTTTGCCTTTGACTATTAAATACATGGATGGTTTACTGGTTTAGGTTTCCAAGATTCTATTTTTATTGCTGAATCGTACTTTCCTTAATTTTTACCACGATTTATTGGAAATTATTTGCAACACTTTTACGCTTAATATTTAATTAAAAGCGTACGAAAAGAACGTATAAATGAATATTTTATGGTCTTCATTTTCGTAGTGTGCGAAAACAAAGACGGCACGGGTCTTTTTTTTCGTAATTACGAAGGCCGAAGACCTATCTTAGGTCTTCTAGTCTTCGTTTTCGTACTGTAGGTATTCATTTTCGAAACACCCGCATCACATGTGGTTGGCGTACTGTATATTTGTATTTTTATATTAGCTTATTATACTATGACAGAATATATATTGTCAAAAAATGCTAAAATATTGTATTAAATTGAGAAATAAGGTTACTTACCACTACTACAATGTGTAATTGACTTTTCTGCATGGGTTGATTTGGGCATCATACGTATCTCAATTAAGGGAAGCCTCACATATCGATTTTGTCCATGAGTAACGTCATATGTTCGTTTCTCTGGAGATCCCCCACCCCACCCCCTCCCCCCCTTAGAAACGTCACACATAGTTATCGATATTTTGTTCTTACAGTACACTATGAGTACACATAAGGTAATTTTCTACTATTTATTTTTTTTCGGTCGGCTATTGGCGATGCTTCCGCGAGGAATATGTCATCTTCTGCTGACATACATACTCTATTTTCTTATTAATTAATATATATATGAACTTCAAAATTTCCAACGTTTCTCAAAACAACTTTTTTTGCATGAAATATTGATAATTTTAGCGCGTTTTTCTTGAAATTTGAGTGTTTTCAATGCAAGGAAGGCGTAATAATATAGGTATAGAACAGGTATGGTATTACGAATATATAGACTGCTGTTTGTATCAAATTGTTTTCTTTTTTATATTCTGCAAAGATAAAAACTATCGAATTTTCCCACGATGTTTACAGAGAAACGTCACAGCTGCCCCCAAACGAACATATGACGTTTCTCGTGGTAAAAGTCGATATGCGAGGCTTCCCTAAGCGGAATGAAAATCACCCCAAATCAACCCAAAAAAGTCAATTACACATTGTAGTAGTGGTAAGCAACCTTATTATCTCAATTTAATAATATAACAATACAAATATACCTCAACCACATGTGAGCTTGGGATGCTTGCATGTGGTCTAAAAACTCAGAGTAACCAACCACACAAGACAGTGAAAGCATCAGATTAACCACTCACCCGACCCCCTTGTCCCCCTGGTGGTCCTGAAGATCCTGGGAAACCGCCAGGTCCCTAAATGAAACAAAGATGCATGATTAAAAACAAATTAAAAAAATACAAAAAAAGCACATTTCATGTACACATATAGATTTATACAATGTTGTGAGTTTAATTGTCTTATTACTGCATGGTAGGTAATATTAATAATGGCATACCGGTACACCTTTGGCTCCTTTATTTCCCTTTGCTTAAAAGAAAAAAATAAATTATAAGATACAAAATGATAATTATTATAATACAACACTTGACAGTACAGTACAGTACAGTACAGTACAGTACAGTACAGTTTACTGGAGCTGGTTGTTCGAAAGCCGGTTAGCTTAATCCTGGTTCAAGAAAGAACTTCACAACTTTCCAACAACGGTTTTACAAACTTATAATTTCTTTTTTCAAATAATAAATATTTTTCCATTTTATAAATATTTTTCAAAAAATCTTTTCTGGATCAACAGAAGTTTTCATTCTCTACAGTTTCGAAATATACAGACATGCAGAAATACACTAAACCAAAACAGCAGGTTCCTTTTTAACCCAGGCTTAGTGCTTATCCAGCTTTGAAATACTTGCCCCTGGGTACAGTACACATTATTTTAACAAGTACACCCTGGTTAAAATCAGTATAACCAGATTCCTGGTAGTTGCATTGTAACCAGACTATGGTAGGAAGTGAGATCCAGGAAATCTAACCAGGAATATTAAGTTAATCCAAATAGTGTTATTTCTAGGAATTTTTAACCAGAGTGTTTTAGAGTGCGTTGTCATCCATGGACTCGCCTCCCAAACTAATTCCTGCCCGTACCACAAATTCCCAATCCCTTAGTTTTACTGTATAACCGCCAGCTATACACAGCTGTGCGTTGCGAGAGGATTTGCATTGCAAGTTGTAGAAAAATTTGTCTCATTCATTTACACGCACGTAAGTAAGCCTTAATATATTGAACTTCATGAGAAATCTGAAAGCTGCGGATTGAGAGGGTTCAACTACCTGAAAAATATACAGGCAAAACTTCGACGTTTCGAGCGAAGGACCTTCGTCTACCGTAACTTCCCGACGAAGTTTGCTTGTATTTTTCAGGTAGTTTAATCCCTCTCAATCCGCAGCTTTCTGCTGTTTATATTGTCACTATACCTACGGTAGCACACCGTTCGAGTTTATTTCATAGAAACCTACATAGGGGGTACATATGTTCAAGAAGCTAACTTCAATTCTGTTGTATACTAGATCACTAGTATAAATAGTGGTACATAATGTGCGTATTGCAAATATACTACAGAATGTGCGTATTGCGTATTACAGAATGTGACGTATTGCAATTAGATCTATACATGCATAAAGCAATGAAGAGTAAATAGCAAACACAGTTAAAAAAAAATTCTTCTGCAATTCATCAATGCCCGCTCGCTGTGTTAACAATTTTCCTTGGTAATTAAACATCTACTAATCATAGTCAACTTTATGTCGGTATATACATCATATTCACTGTGCTATTGCAAGAGCAATGTTCGGAATAGAATTTAGGAAAAAATTATGCCCTTTTAGGAGTAAAACCAATGCATTGCTATATGCACCGCAATTAAGCGCAAATATGCAAAAAATGTTTCTGTGGTCCAGCACCCATAGTAGTGGCTATACTGATACACGGTGGCTATAAAAATATGTGCAAGTCTGTAAGATAAGCCTTCATATTTAATGATCAATAAAAATATATATTTTTATCATAATTTTCCTATTAAGATTATAAGTGTAAGTCAGAGAATCTTTATTTTTGATATACATGCGCGCAAAATAATCATGCCCACACATATTTGGAATTTTGCTTTTTATATCACAAACGGTCGCTGTTGTTTATATTTGAATGCAATTTTATTTTATGTGTATTCGTATGCAGCAGCAGCGTTTTTGGTACACTTCTGTATGCTTTGTAGAAGTATTGAATTTCGTTAGTCTACGCTCTATAGGTCATGTTACACTCTGCTACATCATGCTACAAAACGCACGCAAGACTCTCAATTCACGCCACGCTTCAATAAATCCGGAAATGTCTCTGGTTATAACTCTGATATCTCCAATCACATTTGTAAGGGTTTAGTGTCTGCCATTTGAGGAACGTTTCTTAATTTTAATAAAAAAATTAATCCTGGGCTCACCAACATTATGACCAATCATTTTGCCACATTAATTTGAATAATTTCTCCCCTCATTCTTGCAAAAGCAAAACGCGATCTCTTAATAATCTATTGAGTATTGGTTAGAGCATACTATATAAATTATGATTTGTCCATTGAATTTCCCTCCAACTTCGTGATATAGTTGAGGTAAATTTACAAATGAATTGTTATATTGAGTGAATATAATTATCATAATGCAAAGTACTGTCAGTTCTTTTCTCTTGATAGTGTCCGATCATATCCGTTTGGTTAGCGCGTTGCGACCAAGCGTTTTATCTGAAACGACCATTGAAACGACCTAACAAAACACATATTGTCGACCAAGTTTTCAGAATTATATTGAACTCTGAATTGTTGTCTGGTTTACCGTTCAGGCAAAGTACCAATGAAATCATGCATCAGTTGTGTTAAGTATGAAAATGTTTGACTGTCCCTTACTTTTAAAAACAACCATAACATTGCCATTGGTTCTGCTATATCAATTTTAATATAATCTTAATCTCTTGGATTGAATTTTCGATTGAATTTTCACAAATCTATTTTCATATAAATGTGAAAACAAACTATCACCTTCGGGACATTTCAACTGGTCTTTGTTTACCAAAACCTCGTACTAATAACATGAAAAATAGTTTCATGTATGACTTTTTAATCTTCTATGAATAAAGTATTGCGCATTTCGCTGCTTTTGAGACAGTCTTGTCACGCTGATTATATATCGACTATTTGAAAAAATTCTGTCGAGTCAATTTGAATAATCACATCTACCTGAAACTTAAACGAAGTTGCTAATTATCTGCATGTACAAAAATCTGAAACCCAGCTGTTACATTTTTTGGGACAGCCTCTATAATAAAGTATGGCTTTTTCTGTCATACTCAAATATTTAATATCCTCTGTGAGTAGTCTGTAGGATATCTGGATATGTAATTTTTATTAACACCCACAAAGTTATTTTTATTTTTAATTAGGGAAAATTTATATTTTTTAGTACAGTCTATGTTTTAATAACAGAAATATTTTCGCCCACTGTTTAATTAAAATGACTCTAAAGTGGGCCAATAATGCGATATCGGAATTATATACCAAAGCATATAATGCCGGTATCGGAACTATAAACAGTATGGGGAGACACAACTATAATAATTAAAATATTAAGAACATAGCAGTGTTCAATAAGCTTTTAACCTAATTTAATGAATGAACAGTGTCTGTAAAGTGAATATGCATTATTGCGAGTATTACGCAGTACATAATTCAAACATTTCGAAGCAACTTCACTTACGACCGGTGAAAGGACACGTCCGCAATATCGCAACAAGGACGCATTCATGAGTAAAGGATATGGGTTTGCGCAAACTTACGGTGCCACAAACAGGCACGCAATTTATATAATGTATCAATTATTGTATCTCGATTTCACAAAGAACAAAGAAAATATAAAGAGTATGATTGCAATATATTATACAGTAAAACTATGTTAATATGTCTCGTGTAATAACGTGTAAACTTTAAATATCCCATTACATTACATATAATGAATATATAATACGATATACCCGCCGATATATGCGCACATACTCACACATTCTCAGCACACAAATTTTTCAAGAACGGGCGCTATAATATGCAACAGCGAAAATTCATAGCACAGCACACATTAAAGCGCATTTTTGCATTTCAATAAATCAATTCACGGTGCGCTCAAGAACAATGCGCGCAAAAGTTATCGCGCCTAGCATACATGAATAACTATAGCACGATTGTTTACGCTGAGCAAAATATGAATATAAATATAAATGCATTAGCACAATAATGAAGAATATTATGTATATCACGAAAAAGTCAAAGCATATTTAGTAAACATATTTTCTTACCATCTTGCGAGACTACGAAAGTGGCGGCTAACGCCAGAACCAAGACGGCACTTAGAATTCTCATCGCTGCTACTGGAAGCCAAACTGTTCCTCGTTTAAAAGCAAATCCTTTTGGTTCAAAGGTAAGGCGTATAGAGGGACGACTAGCGACCAGTTAGATAACAATCGCGTGTGACTAGGACACTGAAATCAGCCGTGCAAAACCAAGCCAGCCAATCGGTGTTACCTATGAATGGCTGCGTTCAGACTGCGTCGAGAGTCAGGGCGCTGACAAGGATATCAAATGAATAACTGCATTGTTCCGCATGAAACATTCGGTCGGATTTAATATTATTAACTAGATCATATATCTTTTATATTCACTTTTTACTCTGATCACGCTAAATTGTCACGCAATACTACGTGCGGGCTACCAAATACATTTTCTATATATCATGCGAGCGGAAAACGTTAAAGAAAAGAACGCTAGGCTAAGTGTATTTTTCACAAAATGCGATCTAAAAATATGACAGCGGGTTAGGTCAAATGAGCCGATTATTGTCAATGATTACAAATGATATCTGTCTCTCCCTAGGACACATGTAGTTGCTATGACAGCACGGAATTATGTTCGTGATTTATGCTTATTTGTGTAAATCTATAAAATAATGCAACACGCAAGCCTTCATATTCGCGCGCATGCAAACAGTCGAGGTATAAAATCTCCAGTGCCGAATCTGCTTGTAATAACACACATACGACATTCAAGATTCCAGTTCAGCACGTCCAGATAATTATATTAAAGAGACGAAAACCCAATGAGCATAAAATATAAATACGGATAGACGCACTCCCTCATGTGACTTCAGCGACGATTGGATGTTCAAATGGTAAAACGTCGGCGAATTGAGACCGCGTTTACACAAGGGCAAAAGATTTCGGGTTGGCCTATTCATATTTTAATTTTCTATGCAAATTATGCAAATTTAATCTTCCATGAATGACGTTTATGTTGACAACGCACGTACTATTAGACAGAAACGTATTGCGCATTTCGCTGCTTTTGAAATTTCCACTTGAATATATCACACAATAATTGTGAATTATCAGTAATATCCACTTTATTTTATCATACTGATTATCAGTACTATATTGTTATCATTACCACATCAGTATTATTATTATAATTTTTATATGAATATACCCCACTGGTCAGGTATATGTATCCCAAAATCGACAAAAAGGCACAGCGCTTTAACTTTTTTAAATACTGTCAATTTAAAAATAGATTTTTCAAGATCATGAGAGATAATTGTGCAGTCACCAGAGTTTTCATTTATGCTGTTACGCCCCTCCCCAAGTGAGCTCTATATGCAGTATATAGTAGAGTCAATTTATGAAAAATATGGCCTAACCCCAAAAAAATTGCAAGCAAACATTTTATTGTGTTTTCCTGTAGTATTGGGTCTTGTGAACAACATATCAAAAGTTTAGGAAAATTTAAGTCACAGAAAGGGTAAAAATGTGACGTCATAAACAAGATGGCCGCCAAATCATAATATTGGCTATATCTCGCTTCATATTTTCATATTTAACATAGGGTGACAATATTGGTGTCTAGCTATAGGTTTTAGGGTTCAAGGAATCAATTAAGTCTATTCATGAGGTTGTAGGGGAATTGCATCATGGGAAATCCAAGATGGCCACCACAACAGCCCCAAATTATGTTATTGGCCATAACTCAGTTGATATTAAACATAGGATAACATGTATCGGAACAAGATATTATGTATCGGAACAACTGAAGAATGTACAGGTAAGTTTAATTACTATTGGAAAGATAATTTAATCCATTTCAGGCACTTGATAAGGAAGCCATGTGGATTTCTTAGAAATGTGTTTTGACTATGTGTCGCGTTTCCAATACAGCACGAGGAGGTTGTTGCTGTACCAAATTCACATTTATAACCACTCTGATGTGTGAGACTACTCCATTTTAAAGTTTTATTAACAACAAAACACGTATACAAAGCGGTAAAAACTAAGAATAATACAAAGAAAAATCCGTAAATAAAGGCTTTAACTATCACCATACTATAGGAATTAATAGTAGAATACATCGGCTTCACTTACTTCTGATTTTCGACATAAAAAATATTTAAAAACGGTCTATTTACTATAAAAGCTTCAATTCTCAACGAAAGCGATCATGCGAACCGTTTGTCAGCGGTATCAAGTTCTATCTGATAACAGTACGTAATGTAAACATCATTAAACGTCTCACTATGGGAGGCCAATAATGCAACGAATGTTGGTTCCTTGATTTTTTAAACGAATTTTAAGTCTCGAAGATGAGTGCAAGCCAGGAAACATGCCCTTTTTGCGAAAAGGGATTTGGAAGTGAAGAAACAGTGGTGATAGGCAAGAAAGGAGCTGACGGTATCAACAACGCAAGTGACAAGAGAGGCGATAATATCATTGTGGCACCTAAAACCAGAGTGCACAAGTCATGCCGTGCGAATTATATCAACCAAAATTACATAGACTCGCATAAGAAAACTAATCAATTAGAGTGCACGCCGTCTGTCGTCAAAAGAAGTGCACGTGTTTCTGTTGGACCATATGATAGCAGCACAGACTGTTTATACTGCGGAAATAAGGTTGTGAAGTTTGAATTTGGGGTTAAAAATGACGACTATGGATGTGTTAAAACAGACTGCTTTGCAGACACAATATTATCAATCTGCAAGACACGTGCTGATGAATGGGCATTTACTGTCCAAGGACGCGTTCAATATTATGGTGGAGATCTACACGCAGCTGACTGTTTGTATCATCGTTCTTGTGACATAAATTTCCGCACGTTGCGGGATATTCCAAACCAGCACAGAGTAGGCCCCAGTGAAAATAAACGATGCCGGAAACTTGGAAGACCAAGGGACACAGACCAGGAAGAAGCATTTTTCAGGATGTGTGCTTTCTTTGAGGACAATGACGAAGAACAATTGAGTATTACCGACCTTGCAAATAAAATGGAGGAGTATCTGCATGAAAGTGAGTGTGGTGCTTACGGGAATCAGTATCTAAAGTGTCAGCTAATGAAACACTATGGAGATTCAATATTTGTAGCTGAGGGCGATGGATTGCAAGACATTGTGACGTTTCGTGAAAGAACTGGACGAATCCTCCGAGGTTATTTTCACCTGCCAAAGAAGGAGGATGAGGAAGCACAGAAGAGAGATATAATTGAAACTGCTGCTAGACTCATTAAGAG